TTTGCAATGTCATATGAGCCCAACAAGAATGAACGGATCGAGGGTAGACTTGCTATCATTCTTGATACCATCCAGGAGAACGACATCATATTTGTTTGACTTTTTACAAGAATTCTGGGATTTGAGCTACTACTTCCATATATTTCTAGGCTAGCTTAATGTAATGTAAATTTTGCTAATTTAACGAGGCTATGGACAGGTGGGGGTTGTATTTTCTAGCTAGTTCATCTTTGTTCTACAGAGCTGTTACTCTTTAACAATTCCCCTTCAACTCCTTGTTTGTTTGAGATTGTTGAAAAAGATGGTATAAAATGTAGCCATGATCAAAGACATTTAGCTAGTAGGATCAAGATTAGGTGTTCTGCAGTCGGTCTTTAGGATCAAGACTATGCACGTCTTCTTGTGTTCTGATCTTTGACTAACCAAAACAGATTTGAGCTTTGTGATAGAAAAGGAAGTTATGGCCAAAGACATAATTAGGATCAATATCGGGCTCTGTGGAGTTATAATTTGGTAAGCATAATATCAGTATGCATTATGTCTTTCTTTATGTACACTCTCGCTCCAAAAAATTGAAGCAAATTAGGTATGCAGTGTTTCTTGTTTCAAAGTACTACTCTACGTCTTTTATACTAGTGCTGGATCCAGCCTTGTATTGTGAGTTTATTACATAAATGAAAGGAAAATTGCATCAAATTTTACAGGGCATATCGGAAAAATATGAGATTTTTTTTTTTTTTTTTAACTTAATGATTTGCTATTGCTCCTATACCAAAGATTCTATTATTTATTCCAATTACTGAGGCTCCTGCAAGAATTTTTCAATGGCCGTCACCCAAACCATCGACAAGAAAACTCGCGTCAACTATCTACACTGTTTCTTCCTACAGCCAAATGCCGGTCTGAGCCAATTCAAGAAAATGTTCAATCCATCAACAAAACTGATTTTTGTTCCTTCTGCTCGTTTCATAGGCTATCTGTTTTTGAAATGGTTTCCAAGCATTGGGTGTAATGAATTTTAAGATTACTATCGCATAAGATCAGGTCCAGCCCAAAGGGTTTGCAAGTGGTGTGATCAGACAGCATGCCATAATGTTAACAAAAATATTCCTCTTCTTCAACCCAATGTGAAGAAAAATTGGACCAATTTTTAATTTTTTGTTCATTTCAGAAAATTAATCCATTAGCCCAGCTACTATTTTATTTTCTTAATTATAACAGACGAGCACTTTTTCAGATTTCGCAACCAAAAGCAAAATCATGGGAAAAAGGTAACCATGCACAGATCCAAACTAAGGAGTCACATGAGAGGGGGAAATTTACTGTAGAAGTACTTAAATCTTATTAGGAGAAGTCGCTCATATAATAACAATACTGAGGCAACATCCTCAACAATATAATTTCTGGTTCACAAAATTATCAAAGCAAAAATAATATGTGAATTTTCTATGTAAACTACAAATTGATAAAGTAAATGAACGTCCTGATATTCTGATCAAAATATTAAACCATCTGCACAAGAAAAACTACAGAATGTAAGCAAACGTCCTTACTATACGTCGTCGATATATAATTGGCAGTAATTCCAGTACAAATGCAAGGGTTTGGACTAAGCCATTACCTAGACACAAATCTGGTGTAAATTATAAAACCTATTCCGAACTTAGTTTAAGCATCAACCTATGACAAACCATGAAGGAAATTTGTGTTAGATTCTGAATTGACAAACATAGGAAGCCTGAAAAGGCTGAGACTGGGGATAGTAGCAGTATATGCATTTCCACGCAGGTGTCTTTTTATTGTAATCAAACTATTTCTTCCTATCCTCAAACTGATGAATCAATACGGAGTTGAAAACAAAAGATTTAGAAGATCAATTTACGAGCATAACCTAAATGAATAAAATAATCTGACTAATAAAACAATTGATTTCTTGCTACACTACAAAATAAATTCTGCCATTAAGGCAATACATTAAGGCAATACGCGCATTGATACTTGCACCATTTCCCAATTTCGTATTCCCTATTACATTCCCTTGAAGTAATGTTACGGAGCTTTACCTTGTCAGTTGATGGGGTAAAAACAGCTTTGACTGCCTCGAAAACTTCTTCAACGGGTTGTGCAGCATCAATCTAAAATCAAAAGCAATATCAATTTCCATCTCAACCCTTTTTTGGCCTAAAAGAATCTCCACATAGGGTGGGAATTGAAAGGAAGAATCTTGATGAGAAATAATCTTATTACCTTTCGAACCTTCCCTTTGGAGTCGTAATATTCAATCACGGGAAGACTGGATTCCATGTAAACCTTAAATCGCTTCCTTATTGTCTCAATGTTATCATCTTCTCTACCCTTCAAGGTACAAAAAGAAAGGAAAACGAAGAAGGCTGAGTAAATAAAAATGCAAAGGAAAGATATCACATGAAAACTGCAGAGAAATGGAACAACAGGAATTCTAGATTAAGAGAGAAAAGAAAGACATTAACCTGGTTCCTGTTCAACAGGCGTTTCTCCATTTCTTCTTCTGAACAATCAAAGAAAAGCACAAATTCTGGCTCAATTCCAGTCTGCAAAAATTAAGATAGTAAACAAACTGTGAAATTGGTGCACAATACATATGATATATTAAATGCCTTTCTCTAGAATCCACAATGCAATTAGGAGTTTGTAAGCCTTTAAAAATATTGGAAAAAAGAAACCATATTTCCATTGAATGCATAAAATATGTAAAAACAAGCAAAACGAAGATATAAAATTATGATTCTAACAAAAACTGAGGGTTGAAGAAGAGGATAAATAGAAAGACTTACAACAGACTCAAAGTTAGCACGGTTCTCCTCATTACGAGGGAAGCCATCTATAAGAAATTTGTCGTTGCCATTTTCCTGCATTGCTCGTTGGAGTAGCTTAATTGTCACCTCTGATGGTACAATTTTTCCCTCCTTAATCATGTTCTGAATCATTGTCCTATATATCACAGGTCAATAATGAATAAGACTAATAAAATATTTGAAAAGGAGAATCTTGACATGTTCCATGAAGCCTTGACATTTGAAAAATAATAAATTCATACTAGTTTTCTTTAGTGATTTTACTTGAATTCAAAATCAATACGCAGATGACCATGGATTTATTACACTTCACATCTTGAAAAATCAACCTCGATTGACCAAGACAATTACTTGATCCACAATACAAGAGAACAAGATAACCAAGAACTCATTTTGTACAAAGAATATAAAGAGAATCGATCAGGGATGAAGAAAAAATTAGTTGTAATGTATTTCTTTTCGAAGAGGTAAAGCATGTTAATAGAAAAGAATTTTAGTACAGCGAGGATGTACCCATTTTCAGAACCAGATTTTATTTCTGCACGGAGAAGATCACCAGCACTGAGATGGGTGTATCCAAAGTGTTCTACAATATTTGCACACTGAGTTCCCTTACCACTGCCAGGGCCACCTGCTTCAGTTTATTGGTTAAAAATTAACGTTATCAGAAGTGTTTGAAAATAATCTAAATAAATTATGAAGGAAACAGCATGTAGGACACCGACTTAAGAAAATACAACACGGTAATTTTCACATCCAATACTGCTTTATTATTATTATCATTATTATTACCCGTATCCACAAGACAACAAAGAATATCAATAACTTGATCGACATCCTGGAAGGCAGACACATGAATGATGGTAATATATATTCAGATACCACAATTTGAAAATGGAGCACTCACCTAGGACAAAAAGTTGACATTGAAAGAACAATCAACCCACGCTGCCATTTGCTTCCTGCAGTGTTACACCATCAAATTAATACTCTAAAGAAAATAAGTTCTCGAAATCTGCACAAGCATATCCTTCGTGCACATTTATACAAGTCACTGCTTATCTTAGTTAATCCTAGATGGTGAAATAAGTATCCAAACGAATTTTGCAGGGAAGACCAACTCTTAGTGCTAAATTAGTTACTAAACAACCATTAAGTTCTATGCAAGGCTACAATATTGTAATTGATATCCATGAGATCTTCTGGGTTTTAAAGAAAGTACATGCTTCATTTTACTTGGGTCAATCTATTGCTAGTCTAGTTAATTCGAACTGTACTATTAGATTTCAAGATATTTCATAATTTTGAAAACTACTAGGCCTAGGCCAATAGATGTTGTCCGGAGTCTTACTAGAAGTCCTTGGGATCTAAATCAAGTCCCAAAAGAGTCAGGAGTAAGAAACCTTAAATTATTATTATACTATATCCTCAAGTATTAAGACCAGTGTTTTAGCGGCCAACCTATATGCCAGTGCATTATTTCTTAGTGTAATTTGAGTTCTAAATTGTAGATTTTAGACATGGGTATCCTTCAACACCCATCTTGTATCTTACTCGAGAAACAGGATAGAAGCATAACTATCCAAAATTACCTTATTTCTTTGACTGCTCTTATAATGTGTCACAAACTCTAAGAAGCAAGTATACGTGTAAACTTATTGCGTACCTGTGTCCGATACGTATCCAAGTTTGGATACACTTAGACACACTCTAATACATATATGATACGTGTTTTTAATTATTTTATATTTTTTACATTTTTTAAATTTTTGACACGTATTGGACACAATAGGATACGTGAACAAGATGAGTTTTATTGGTTATAACTCTTCTAAAACTTTATTATTATTAATAGTAGATGACAGTTTTTTCGTAATAGATAACTATTGTTATTATCAATAACTTATTGAAAATAGATAATATTTATTAATTAACAATTTCAAACAAAGTAAATGTGTTATAAGATAGATAACTACACAATATACGCTTATTATTGAAAACATATATACTATTAAATAATTGACAACTAAAATTTTAAATTAATTGACAACTATAGTTTTATTAATGGAAATAGAAGTTAGTATTAGAACTTTTAATACATGTAAAACCGTGTTAATAATTGACAATCATATTTTAGATATACATAATAGTTTTAAAACTTTAAATATTTTTTAAAATGTTGTATTTGTGTACCCTTGTATCGTATCCGAATCCATGCTTCTTAGCACAAACTTAGAAGAACACCTCTATGCATTTATGTTATTTTGTAACATTAATTACAATCAAATCCAAAGATCAACTAACCAACTAGTCTAGCTTTTATCAAACTCGAGAAGTCAATTTTTTTAGCTTGGCCAAATCCAAAATTCAATTAACTGGAAATGTATAAATAATGATGTTATGATGTATATTTTCCCTTGATGACCAGAAATATTCAAACCACCTTATCTAGAAAATAACTTCAAGGCTATGAACTTAAAAAGTCAATGACATCTCTCTTTCTTTCTCAAGAAAAAATAAGAGAAACAGAAGAAATATCGACTTTAGAACCATAAACAGCTTTTAAAAGACCACATTACTTATTTATTGATCCTGGTATAATACATAAAACGTAGCCTGGTCATAATACCAATCGGGGTGGGGGAAAATATAGCTCTTATAGCATGGACTTTTAAAAATTGGGAACTAATTTAGGTATATAATGCTTGACCAGAAATTTAGAGAGGTATTACAGTGCTTAAGCATATTATCAGGCTGAAATCTGTAAAAACACCAAAAATAATGATGAAATAAGATAAAAAATTAAAAAAATACCTTGTTTGCAGCATCAACGACAGTTCCCATGAGTGCGTATTAAGTTGTGATCTAACTTTATCTGCACATAGCCCATGAATACTAAGGCAGTTAGACTAACATTTTTATTTCGTTCTCAATTTTTGCTGCACAAATTTTTGAAATGAACTGCACTAACATCTGAAATTTAACTAATATAAATCTTCCATAAATGCATAAAACTGACCAGCTGAAGAAAAATTAAAAAGGACAAGCAACGCTGCTAAGGGATCTTTTGCAATAGAGGCCTAGCACGTGTCAATTCTCATATTTGTTGGACTTCAAAGATCAGTGGGTATATGCTTGAAATTCTTTAAAGATAACCTCTAATATAGATATCCATCACTTCCTAAAATTCTACAACCACTAACCATATATTGACTCCATGAATCATCTTATCTTGCAACACACCCATTTCAGGACCATAACTGGCAAACATGACAAATCTAATGTGAAATGCAAGTGCAATCAACAAAATAAATATTTTATAAAACACTAACAATAGAATAATATAACATTTATCACTGATATTTTGAAAAATGAAAACAAATTTTGGACCACATATAGCACATAGTTCAAAGCTTAAGATCATGCAGCAGACAATGTAGAACTATTAGCTTAAGATGCTTGGACAGGTTGAATGTATTTTTTAATCGAGTTACTTAATAAGATTAAGAAAGAATTCATGTAATTCAAAATGTAACTTTAGAAGTGGCCGAACATTAATAGAAGTCATGAGCATTATGAACCCTTGGGTGGTACTCTCTTTACTATTCTTTTCTTCTAGCCATTTAAACCATTTTTTTCCGATATTTGTCTTGCTTTCACCCAAAACTTTGTAATGCAGAAGTTAGAACCATTTGTAGTTCTAAAATTGCATGTTAGTCTCAAAGTGTCCTTCGGTTATTCAAACCTAGGATGCACAGAAACTTCTAAAATGCAAGTGTTTCATTTTGATAACTCTGGAGAAATGTTTCGAGAACTCGCAAAATTTCCCATTTTTTAATGAATTTTGGGAACTCTATAGAAACTCCAGCAAAACTTTCAGGAAACTTTTCATGTATAATTCAGAACCACTACCAAGAAAAAAAAACCTTAATTACAGGCTCTAATAAAAGTTAACTTAACTACGAGCTTTAAGTATTATAGTGAAAGAATTAAAATGCTAAATTTTAATATAAACCTAGATTTTCTAACTCTAGTGTTGGCCGTCCTTGGTAAACTTATCAATTCTATAGAGAAGTTTTGTGCTACTTTCCAGTTGATTTCATTTAGGAATTTATTTAAGATGACAATGATTATATGTTAAAAATTTGTAGTTAGATTATGCTGATTGTGGTAATATGTTTGTTTAATTTACATTAAATAGGTTTCGGAAATAAATATTGAAATTATAAAATAGATAAATAAATAATCTTGATAATAATGTTTGTGCAATATTATATATCCTACTTTTTCCAGAAATAATGTTTCCTCGTGCCGTGTTGTGCCATGTCCTATGTCGTTCTTCATTTTTGTTTTCGTGCAACCCACAACTCCCATCATGTCCTAGTGTATCCTTAATGTGTCCCAAGCACGTCTATAAGGTATACCCCAAGTGTGGTAACTATTAGCATCAAGAAATAATATCGACATTGTTATTAGATCAAAGTGGAATATAATTATTAGATCATCTTCAAGAGACTCTTTATTTTTAAAAAAACATCTTGATCATAATAGAAAACATCTTTAAATTTAAAGAGTATAGTTTGTATATACTTTTTTTTTTAATTAAATTAATATAGTTTTTTAGATGTCAATAGCTAAAATATTCAATATAATATAATAATTTGAGTAGTGGAACGTTGAAACTTGCAATTTTATTAACTGAAATCTTGATAAAATTCAAAGAGAGAGTGAGTTTGGCTCTCAAAATCTATCTATTTTAAAAATTAAACTAAAAAGTTTCTTGGAGCCTAATTTTAAGGTTTGACTATTTAAAATAAAGAGCATCTCACTTTTAAAGACTCTCTAAGGGCATCTCCAAGAAAGTGAATTTGGCTCTCCAGATTAAAAGAGTCAAAATTCATTCTCTATTCTTAATGTACAATGATTGCAATTAATAAGTCACAGCTTTCACTTCTTAAATTATTCAAAGCACAATTAAATTAATTGGCCATTGACCTATAAAAAATTATGTGAAATAAAATATAAGAAGAAATCAATAAATATTTCTAGAGAAAATTAAAATGAAGAGCCAAAATAGATAGAATTTTTGGAGTGAATAATATTATTGACTCTCTGAATTTATAGATATTCTCTATAATGCAATGTTATTTATAAATAAAGAGTCTCTTGGATATGCTTTTAGCAAATATGTTTAAACTTGAGGGAAATTTTTAATCTTTACATAATATTTGGTTTAAAAGTCTACAGATATATTTTTAAAAGTGACCACAACAAATAGAACTTTCAAAGAAACAGAAATGTTAAAGATCTATCGCATTACTGTAGAAACACATAATTAAAATTGAATGGACAATCAAATCTTTCAGAAAAGGCAGGCCTAAAACTCAGAATCAACCAGATATGATACTTTTTTTCAAAATAAAAATTCAAATGATAACTCAATTCTAAGAGAAGCAGTAATGCACTTCAGCTAGTATTTTGAATTGCTTACTAAATAATAAATCTTTTAGCAAACAAAATCATAGAGTTGAAACACTGAATGAAAAGATTCAAAATGGCTATCATAATATAGCATACAGCATTTTCAACAAATCTGGTCACATGATAAACAGACAAGCCAATTTTCCCTGATGTTCTAATATTCGATATCAGATCACAACAGTAGACATCCAATACCAAAATCTTCGAAGTAATGATCAAAAGATCCGATCTCTCAACGAATTAGCTGTGAATTCAGCAAATCAGCATTTTCCAGAAAACTAAAGCGATGAACAGTTAATAGAGTTGTCATAAGCTCTGATCTAACGATTATATTAATTAATAAAACTAAAATCTATCAGATCACAACAGAAAATTCTTAAACACGATAGAAACAAAGTAAAAAAAATATATCAGCCAAGGAGCATTCCGATACGAAGACATATAAAATCACAGAATTCTCCTTTTCGAAGTGATCTTACATTCTAATTAGTAATCAAACAAACGAATCATTCTCAACTCAAATGACAAAACATGAATCACAAAATTAAATCTTGACAGATATAATAAAAATTAGCAGAAACAAGATCTAGATCGCACCTTATTGGTTGAGTAATTGGAAAAGGGAGGGAAATTGCTGAGATCTGCGAATGGCACAAATGGAGCGAAGAGCCTATATTTATTTATAAAGACGGGGGAGTGTTTAAATGGCAACTGACGGACTAATTTTGTAAATCTGCGCAATATTTTGGTTTTTTTTTTTTTTGTGACTCCAATCTAAACGTGATTTATTGTCGGTAGGACTGGAAATGCGGAAGGTTAGCAGCGACTTTGCGTAATTTTAACGGCTATTAGAATTTAGAATTAAGGCCAGAATCATTTAAGGCCATTTATTATTAAAATTAGGAAAAAATTCGTAAGAGTTTATGTATCCCCTATTTCAAAATTAAGAAAACAAGTTTGAAATTTCAAAAATCAGATTTTTATTAAAATTTATTATGATTTAATTAATTAAATATAATAATATCATAATTATACAATTAATGGTCACATATACATAATTAATTGGTCACGGATTATTTTTGAGGTCACAAATCAAAAATTTTTTAGGTCACAAATTATTTCGAGATCACAAATCAAAAATATTATACGTCACGAATTATTTCGATGTCGCGGTTCAAACATTTTATAGGTCACGAATTATTTCGAGATCACAAATCAAAAATATTATACGTCACGAATTATTTTGAGATCACAGTTCAAACATTTAGTCACAAATTAAAAATTTTGGAGGTCACGGATTATTTCGAGATCACAAATCAATAATTTTATAGGTCACAAATTATTTTATTGGTCACGGATCAAAAAATTACAGGTCATAGATTAATTTTTGGTCACAAATTGTCGAATTTTGAGGTCACAGTTAGTCCATTATCAAACGCCGAAACTTCATCGTCCGGCCACCTTTTTGCCCGGCAACCACCACTGGCCAACTCCCCTCACCAAGACGAACACAACAATGTAGCCAATTTACTCCAACAAACAAGCACAAGATCTGAATTGCAATCTGAAATCTACCCAGTCGTGAAGGTCGCGACATCACAGTGCACTTCCTCAATTTCTGGCGCCGTCCGGACGACCCAGGGTGGCGGACCACCCCCCTCTTTCCCTCTCAAAGGCACTCATTGCACAGGCCTGGGTCAACCCCAATTTAACCGCCAACAATCTGAATTTGATCCTGAAACCCACACATACGCGAACTCGCGAAAAACGAAAACCGACGACTTTTCGGCGAAAGGTGGATGCTCCAATCTCTCACCTCTCACCACCGCACGCACAACACCCAACCACAACATCCACCACCACACCCACTGTACAAGGCAATAACCACGCCCACCACCATCATTACACCACCCCCAAACCAGTTTTGAACCTACACCACCGGCACAATAGATTGAATAAAAAAAATCCCAAAAAAGGCAGCGTTGCAGATTTGGCAGCAGAGCTCCGCCTCGAGCTGCCTCGCTGATCCGTTTGCAGCAGGCCTGGGCAAGTCTTGGAGTGGACGCCACCGGCTGTTGGGAGCTGTGTTGCCGGGTACGAGGTATAGGGAAAGAGAGAGAGTGAAAGGCTACGGGTTGGTGTAGGGAGAAAGAGTAGATATGAAGAGAGGGAGGAAAGATTGAATTAATTAATTAAGGTTTGTTATTTTATTAAAATATTAATAAAATAAAACATCTGATTTTTGAACAATGAAACCTTCCATCTGATTTTTGAATATGGATCTTGAAAAGTAGGCTTGTGTGTAATTTCCACTTAAAATTAAGCGTTAATTGATTTTGAAATACTAATTTTTTATAGAAAAT